CGTCAACACCATGGAGCTAGTCGTCTCTTAGATTGCTAACTACCTGAGCTGAGTCTCATTTGTTACTTGTGCAATTGCATCTTATAGCTGCATTGCATTCTGGAACTTCGAGTCCAATGTTTGCTGTCTGCCCTTACTCATACATTGGATTTCTCATTAATGTCCCATTGAGCATTGCTGGAAGATGGTGAATGAGAAAAGAAGCACTTTTTCTCCTAATAAATGCCAATGTCCCCCTGTGGCATCAGAGCAGCAGACCTTCGCTAAAATTAGTGAAAATACAGCACCAAACATCACTTTAACACCAATTTAGCATCACTGAATACATCACAAATATTTGAATATAAACATGTTTATGTGTTTCAGTGTGGACTTTATCTTTAAGTCAGTAGTTTGAGGAGTTATTTTCTGTGTTATGCTCCATCGCTATGTAAATCCATTACACTCAGGACCGCTCCGTGCTTCCAGACCTAAATTCCTGTTTTTACACACCTTTTCTATGTAATTCACTGTAATTACAAAATGATAAGCTTTAAAATTAATACCTAAATAATGAGCTGAGAGTTTAAGGGGTTAACATCAATAGCAGACTGCTTACCTCAACAGAAGTACAGTTTGTGTGTTTTTTTTTTTTTTAGTATTGACGCATGTATTGATGTATGTCTGGTTTTACAGGCTTTCTTTAGGCACTAGGCATGCCTGGCTTTATAAAAATACACTTTTCATCAGCACTCAAAAGGTTGAGTGGGAGTCCGTTTACACATCAGCAGTGCTGGTAGAACTGGTGCTTCAAAGTCCTGCACTGCTGACTGAAACGAGAGAGAGAAACAAAGAGAGAACCTGTTAGATGATTTTGGATGTTTATGAAGAACGTAAGGTTTCTCTCCACCATTCCTGTTTTTAGTGTTTATCCAAAACAAAGTTTGTCTTCTCCTAGTTGGCGTTGTGTTATCAGTAACATTGTTATTCTGATCAGCTCTCCCTCCATCCTCTCCAAAAATTACTCTACATCCAGGCAAACTATACACCAAGGACTCTCTGTGCAAACACACATTTGGTGCACACATGGTTGGAACTTATGTAAATAAGATGACAAATGAGCAACTCTTCTGAGCTTACTCAAACTGTTGGCAGTGGTATGAGTCTTCTCTGGGAGGGGGCCACGTCTGTCTTCAGCCCCCCAAAAAATGACTCTCAGCATGGGCCATTTCCCAAACGCTCTGCTGACCTTCTCTGTCAACGCTGTGTGAGAGTGTGTTCTGGAGACAGGCATTAGATTTGCACTAACATTCCTGTTGCTCCGTAGTTATGTTAGGTTTTTTTATGCTCTGACAGTGAGGTAATGCCTTCGTTTGTGTCTCTACACATTAGTATACAGCCAGTATGTGTAGATGCCCTGAACCTTCCCATAGTAGCTACGTACAGTATGTGAAGCCAGGGCCACATTATATTCTGTCATTGTAAATTATAGGCAACTTAAACATGTTATTATTTTGTGATATACAGATGTCAAACAGTTCTAGTGTTACATAAATAGACCCAATCAGAAATAATTGCAATTAACTAAAATGGACAGCTACACCCTCCTTGACCTACCCCCAATGCTTGGCATGTTTACAACTCATTAGATAAGTTATTTCCCCGCTTACTAAAATGGTTTGGTTTGTTGTGTTTTGGTGGCAAGAGTTTCCACAGCAAGTGAAACTTTTACAGGCATTTTCTCATATGTAGGTTGTCTCTACATAAAATGATGCATAAGTCAGGCACACAAAAAAGGAAAAGCAAAAGGGAAGAAGGCATTAGAATGAGCTATAGTTCAATTATGGGTTACAGCCATTTACATTTTGTGGGCTGTTTGTATATGTATGTTAGTGTTTCCTTGGGGGCCTTTTTTAAATGGTTTGTCCCGGGCTTGGGCAATATGCACAGCGAGCCTGATGGTAAGCCATGCTCTGTTATGTATGGAGGATAACGGTAAGGGTTAAATTTTCAGGTTTGTAAGAGCATATGGAAGCCAGGTTTCACCACAGGCATAACATCGTCTTTACTTAATGTTTAGGGAATTCATGGTTATTACAGTATGTGATGATTTGGAAGATCTACATTGCCTACATGACTGGTTCTTTTAAAACCTATAAATGAATAATATAAATGACTGATACGTACATTGCAGCTCTTAGGGGAAAACAGAGGTATGGAGTTCTGGAAGCAAGACTAGTGGCTCAATTCCAAGTGAAATGTCACTCCCAAGTTGGGCCTCAGGCTATGCTTACACTGACATTTTATTAGAAATCACATTTTAAGCAAACAATAGATGTTGTCCATATTAATGTGATCCCCAATAAAGAAGGCATATTACTTCTTCCTAGTATACTTTTTAGGATTCAGTTTAACTTTTATTATTTGATTTTATGCAATACAAAAAAAAAAAAAAAAAAAAAAAAAAGATATGTACACACATTCAGATTGATCAAGCAAGCTCCTGAAGGCATGCACACTCCTCATTTATGCAGTGACAGAGTAAGAGCTTTTCTATTTTTCATGCTATATATCTGTTCTCTGTGTCCTCTATCACTGCTTCCCCCTTCACACACACACACACACACACCAATTCACTTTCAGTTTTTTGTTAAAGCAGTGCAACCACATGAGCTTCATTAGTCATTATTTGATTAATATATTGTGTCTTAATTAAAAGAGGTAGCATCTTTATCATCTTCTCCCCACTTCAATGCTGCTTCATTATGCCTATTTTTCATTGTTGCCTTAGTGACTAATCCTGCCCTTGTTCTGAGAGTGCTGCAATAATTACAGCCAGTGTCTACCTAGGCTTATCTAAGAGAACGATATAATGCAGCTCTACATATCAGATCAGTAGAGTATAACTATTCACCCCCTTCAACTTTTCCATATTTTCCACATATATATATATATATATATATATATATATATATATATATATATATATATGTGTGTGTGTGTGTGTGTGTGTGAGTGTGTGCGTGTGTATTAGTTGAAAGCAGTGCCCCCTTGTGCAAGTAAAAAGTCACATGATCTCAGTATGAATACAACTGTTCCTGGAAGGCCTCAGAGTTACAGAACGTAGACAACATACCTATACAAACAGCATCGCTAAGACCAAAGAGCTATCAAAAAAAGTACGGGACAAAATTCTGGAAAGGTATCAATCAGGGTTGGTTCTTAAAAATATCCCAAACTTTGAACATCCTGCAGAGAACCATTAAATCCACTATTACACATCCTGCAGAGTACAATTAAATACAACAGAAAGAATATGGCACAACTGCAGTTCTACTTAGAGGAGGCCATCCAAAGTGTCAGTGACTGTGTAAGGAAGGTTTTAGTAAGAGAGGCAACCAAGAGGCCACAGCTCAGATGGCAGAAGCTGGACAATCATACCCCAGACACAAAGCTGGGCTTTATGGAAGAGTGGCAATAAGAAAGCCATTATTGGAATAAAGAAGGCATATGAAATCCCATTTGGAGTTTGCCAAAAAGGCATGTTGGACACTCAGCAAGCATGTGGGTCTCTGGTCTGATGAGACTAAATTTGAACTTTATGGCAGTAGCACAAAGCGCTACCTTTGGCAGAAACCCAACACTGCTCACTACCCTGAGAACACCATCCCTGCAGTAAAGCATGGTAGCATTGTGTTGTGGGGATGCTTTTCAGCAGCAGGGACTGGGACACTGGTCAGGCTTGAGAGTAAAATGGATGAAGCCAAATACAAGGCACTCCTAGAATTTCTACCAAAGATGGCTTTTATAAAGTATTGACCCAGGGGGTTGAATACTTATGCAACCAACAAACGTTGGTTTGTACGTTGGTACATCAAATGGTAAAAATCCCAATGAAGTCAATGAAATGAATGATTTAAATTGGTTCAAAGCTTGTAACACTATAAAATATTGAAAAGTCCAAGCGGGATGAATACTTATGCAAGGCATTGTAGAAGCCTGTCTAAATCCTCCACCAGCAACTAGCATTGGATGTTTGCCTGCAACACTGTTTATTCATAGATTTGCATGGTTCTCTGTAAGCCAGTCATGCACTGGAACACATGACAGTAAGGTTACACCAGGTGGACAGGCAGCTGTGCTCCTACTAGGGAATGCACAGGAATGTGCCCATAATTGTAACCAGCATACAGTGGAGTAAAATCAGAATAATACTACAGCATGAGAAATGAGTTAGACACAAGGCATGCATCTGCATAATTACTCTGCTGGGAAGTGTGTCAAGCATGTCATTTACACTGCACTGGCTGAATGGATTTAGCCTTAGACAGCACCACCACTGTGAACTTAGAGGAAGCACATTGTCATTAAATGTCATCTGCTGTGACTGTTACAGACAGTATGGACTAGGATTGATAAGGGTGATTCAATGATTGAGGTGCCATTTAGCTCTTGTTACACTTAGTAATTAAACTTTAAATAATAATTTTTTTCAGTTGACATTGAAATTTGTTCTTCCTATCATCTTTGGAAAATTCAAATGAACATTTGTGGAATATTCCACATATTTCAAAGGAGTAAATGTGTTCAGGTAACAGGGTTGAGTGAATATTTACTTTACATTCAAATTTTAAATGTAATATCAGGAAACAAATGGCACCCCAAACATGGAACCACCAATAAAATGAATGAATGCTAGTGTAGTGAATCTTAGCCTATTGAGTCAGGCTGCATCTTTGGATTTTCTAGCAATACAATTATAAAATTTTATCATAAACCGCTCACTGTGTTTTCATCTCAGAACAATATAACAGGTATGTTTACACAGGTGTGGGTACAAATACTTTTTACAAAGCTACACTGTAAAAAAAAATTGACTGTAAATTTGACAGTAATTTACAGGCATCAGGGTTACCAATAAAGTACTGTAAAAATTTACAGTAAACAATTCTAAGCATATTTACAGTAAAGTAATGTACTATCTTACATAGTATAAATAACACATAAAGATAGTTGAGCTAGTTGTGGTGGCTCACTGGTTAAGGTTTTGAGTTACAGATTAGAAGGTCTGGGTTCAAATCCCAGACTGCCATAGGTTGGGTCCTCATAGCAGGACCCTTAATCATCAGCTCAGTTGTATCCCACACCAAAGGTCGTGTGTTTTAAAGCATCAGCCAAATGAGCAAATGTGCTGGATTATGTCTTATTTTATACTATCTAATACATTACAGTACTTTATTGGCAACTCTGTTGCCAGAAAATTACTGTAAAAAATTTGCAGTCATTTTTTTTACAGTGTATGTAAGGTCAAAATAACCGGAACATAATATTTGTAATATGAATGTAACTTTTCAAGTGATTTTTCATGTTTGTTGGATTATTGAGCCAAGAAGATAAGGTTACTTTTTCCAAAAAGGTTTCCAAACAGATCATCAGGATGAACAAAGTACAGTAACAGCAAAATTGAGTTAAAAACAGTGGAACAGTTCTTGCTTCTTTTTAATCATATGTTTAAATGAACACATACTGTATGATATTTTCACATTCTACATTTACATACACAACACTGACTGGGCAAATTATCCCAAATCTCCCAAAACTATGGGAAAAGCAATACTGAGAAGCAATGTTGATATAAAATAAAGGAAAATAAATAGAAGAATAGTTTTTAAAAAAGTGCCTTGTCTTGCTAGAGACACTCACCATCCATTTTAATAGGAACACCTGCTCATTTATGCAGTTATCCAATCAGCCAATCAAGTGGCAACAGCACAATGCATAAACTCATGCAGATACAGGTAAAGAGTTTCAAGTAATGTTCACATCAAACATCAGAATGGGGAAAAAAGTGTGATCTCTTACTTTACTTTACTGTGACTTTAACCGTGGCATGGTTGTTGGTGCCAGATGGGCTGGTTTGGGTATTTCAGAAACTGCTGATCTCTTGGGATTTTCACACACAACAGTCTCTAGAGTTTACACAGAATGGTGCAAAAAACAAAAAACATTCTGTATGCAAAGGGTCTGCAGGCTGAGTTCCACATGGGTTTCACTCCTGTCAGCCAAGAACAAGAATCTGAGGCTATCATGGGAACAGACTCACCGAAACTAGACAGTTGAAGACTGGAAAAAGACCAAGTGATTTTTTTTCTAATCTTCAGCTGTCCAGTTTCTGTGAGCCTGTGCCGATGATAGCCTCATATTCTTGTTCTTGGCTGACAGGAGTGGAACCCAATGTGGTCTTCTGTTGTTGTAGCCCATCCACCTAAAGCTTGGATGTTTTGTGCATGCTGAGATGCTTTTCTGATCACCACGGTTGTAAAGAGTGATTATATGAGTTACCATATCCTTCCTGGCAGCTCGAACCAATCTGGCCATTTTCCTCTGACCTCTCTTATCAACAAGGCATTTCCACTCACAGAACTGTCGCTTACTCAGTGTTTTTTTTATTTTTGCACCATTCTGTGTAAACTCTAGAGACCGTTGTGTGTGAAAATCCCAGGAGATCAGCAGTTTCTGAAATACTCAAACCAGCCCATCTGGTACCAACATCCATTCTAATATCTGATGTGAACATTAACTGAAGCTCTTGACCTGTATCTGCATGATTTTATGCATTGTGCTGCTGCCACATTATTGACTGATTAGATACCTGCATGAGCATGTATACAGGTGTTCCTATTAAAATAGACAGTGAGTGTATGCCACTAGAGCCAGTGTATATAAAATATTATGTTACATTATGTACCTCTAAGTAGGTCAACTGTCCTTCTGGATTGGACTGAGCTCTATAAACATTCACATTTAATTAAGACAGTGGTAGAGGAGGCAGATGGTTCACTCTGCAGGTGTATAAATCCAGAGAAGCATAAGGGCAGCTGAGCAGATAGCCAGAGAGATGAATGGAGAGGATAATGATTCATAGATTAATGGTGAAGGGGAGAAGTGTGATCTCTCATCACATACAGCGCTCAGGAAAAACATGTAAGCTTCATGTCATGCATTCAAACCATACTGGCTGAGAAAACACAGCTGCTATAGAGGCTGCATGCCAAACCAAGCTATAGATAGGCCACTTTATCAAAAGTGATAAAGACAATTTTCCCTTGAGTCCTCTGAGTAGACTGTGGTCCTAATATCAGCTGACTTAATTGTAATTAATGAGCCTTCAGTTATCATCATTAGCAGCAATCAGTAAAGGTGGAGATCCATTCTAATCATTCAGTTCCCTGGAAGCCTTTGGAGGTTTAACTGAATGACCCAGGCTGTGTGCGCTGTTGTTTTCGTGTGAGGCCGTCTGCTGGGTGTGATTGGGTTGAGTGGAGCATTGGAAGTGCTTCATTAAGAGAGTCCGTTGTTTGCATCTGCAGCATTCATTGAAAAACGGAGAGATGATTTCCTTCATTTCCTTCACTTTGTCTTGCTGTGTCATGTCCTGATTATTGCCTGTTACTTGGGTCTTTGCAGTTCACAGCCCAATGTGGAGATTTACATCAAAATATGGGAGATGCTATAACTCTATAGCCTTTTCAGCCACTAGGTTGCAAAGGCACCGTCAATTAATCAGTTCCACATTCACCACTCTATTATGTCCAGCCATGTTGTCTTGGCAACAAATGAAATGCAAGCTGGGTTACAAGAGAAAACATGTAAATTGGTAATATAGAGACTGGATAGCAGTTCTCTCTCTAACAGGGAGAATCTGAGCTTCTTTGGGTTTGGTTAATAGAAATGTGTTGTTTGGATATAGCAGGATATGGTTGGTTACAATGTCTTCCATTAATATTAAACATAAATCTGAGTATGTCCTCTCCTAGGTTTGTCACATGATTCAGTACTTAAGGTTGGTGAATATGTGTATTTTGTAGATTATGGTACAAGCTTGACCTATTAGGCTTGACCCATGCTGTGGTTATGTAGTGGTCAAATATACATGAATTCCTGTTTAAATGAATGCCTTGTTTTTCAACCATGCCCTATTTAGCTGTGATTCACTAGAGAAAAATGACCAGTTCCCCTTGGTCAAGGTTGGGGCTAATTTCACATAGGTGGTTTTATGAATACTGTATGTATCCAGCCAATATCACATGGAATTACAGGACAGAAGCCTACATATCTTTAATTTTTGCTCCTAATTGGGAAAGGAAGTGGATGCTAGAACTGTTTGGGAGGTTTAAAAGCATTTTTATGTTTGTGCATGTCTCCTGTGATAAATGTTCAACTAATAGAAAGCCTTTTCCGTAACGCAAATAATTGGACTGAGGAATAAACTCTCTGACTGAAAGCATCGGAGGAGGGGAAGAGGAGGCAAACATCAACACCACATACACTGTTTGTTTCTTTCTGGTAATTGGCTTAGGTCCGTCAGGACACACAGGTCCCGGTTCAGGGACGGCTTTTTTTTTTTTTTTTTTAGCAAAAATAATAAGACTCTTAAACATCTGCTGATTGCATTGCCTCATACACTGCAACTGTACAGTGTATATACATCATTTATAATAATATAATTTATAATATACACTCATCAAAGACTTTATTAGGAACACCTGTATACCTGCTCATTCATAATGTTCACATCAAACATCAGAATGGGGAGAAAATGTGATCTCAATGACTTTGACCGTGGTATGGTTGTTGGTGGCAGATGGGCAGATTTAAGTATTTCATAAACTGCTGATCTGGGATTTTCACACACAACAGTCTCTAGAGTTCTGAAAGGAACAAAAAAGAAAAACATCCAGGGAGTGGCAGTTCTGTGGGTAGAGATGCCTTGTTGATGAGAGAGGTCAGAGGAGAATGGCCAGACTGTTTTGTGCTGGTAAAAAGACTACAGTAATTCCAATAACCACTCTTTACAGCCGTGGTGAGCATAAAAGCATAACAGAATGCACAACACAGCAAACCTTGAGGTGGATAGGCTACAACAGCAGAAGACCACATCAGGTTCTACTCCTGTCAGCCAAGAACAGGAATCGAAACTGGATGGTTGAAGATTGGAAAAACATCGCCTGGTCTTTTTCCAATCTTCAATTATCCAGTTCCAAAAACATGACACACTAAAAAGTCACTAACATCACATTTTTGCCCAACCTGATGTTTGATGTTTGATGATGTTACATGCTACTTCTGAGATGCCAGTGATCCTGACCCCTTCTGCTTCCCGGACCTGCCTGACCCATCCTGATGCCCTACTTCTGGTTGGAGTTCTCTGGTTGAGTTCGCTTGCTGCTGCTGGGGGTGGCCCCATATGGACGGCCTGAAGAACCGTTTGGATTGCTGGGGATGGTGCCACCTGGGGGCTGTGGAGATGGCTTGGGGATCACATATGGGCAGTTGTACTGTAATGGCTTGGGACTGCGATTGCTGTAGTGGCTTTGGGGCTGCGGTTGCCACGAGCACCTTCGTACTCAGGACTCCATCAGTGGACAGTGGATAGATTTTAACCAACCAGACTTCTTGTGAAAACTGTGATGAATTTACTGGTTGCTCAATTGCACTATTTGTCCATATAGTACACAATAATAGAAGGGATTTATTTATAATTGCACTATCCGTTGCACCCAGATGAGGATGGGTTCCCATTTGAGCCTGGTTCCTCTCAAGGTTTCTTCCTCTTATCGTCTCAGGGAGTTTTTCCTTGCCACCGTCGCCTCTGGCTTGCTCATTAGGGATAAATTCACATATTTACTATATATATATATATATATATATATATATATATATATATACACACATATATATATATAAAGCTGCTTTGTGACAATGTCCATTGTTAAAAGCGCTATACAAATAAAATTGAATTGAATTGATGTGAACATTAAATGAAGCTCTTAGCACTGTATGTCACTTCATATTCATAGCATTTTGCAGCATTATGTAACATTTGTCACTGACCTTTATGCTCTTCTGTACACACTCACCGCTTTAAACCAGTGGCACTAATGTAGATAATGTAGATAATGATAATGTACATTGAGTCTATTGCTGTAAAGTGGTTACACGACATGCAAGTAAAATTTTCATTGCATATTGTACACTGTACTAGCGCACATGACAGTAAAACTTGACATTTGGAACTTCTTCTAAAGCCATCT